GCCTCGTGAAAATTTTTGACGGGTAAATTATTATCTCGGGAATCACGGAGTCTAGGGAGCTGGATTTTAGGGTAACGATTCCCTGCCCACGCTCAACTCTGCCTTTTCAAATTCAGCGTTCCCGCGCTCTCAGGTATCACTTACGTCCTCATGAAAATTTTGGCAGGTAAACTATTAACTCAGGAATCACAGAAAGATATTCACCCCTCAAAGTTTCGAATTCAGCTTTCATGCTCAGGTGCGTAAAATTCCTAACTATTTTTCAGTGTTTTAACTATTTTGCATAGACTAAAGTACAAAGCAGTGAAAATCATTGATAGGCAATCGTTCAATGGGCTGAATTGCACAAAACGCATGATCGCACCGGCTAGTCTGGTGCGTGTTGCTATTTATTTTTTGCATGCGATGTTTTGCGTCCCTGCATTCCTTTCTAAACCACGTTGTGAGAAGCCTTTCGTGCAACAGCGCCATGTGGTGGCGGAGACAGTATGGATCAAATTCAGCAAACTTACATGCCACTAAAACATGATAACCAGTCTCTTGCCACATATCCTTAGCTCTACAGTCCTTTTTCGTTCATCCACTTTCCTTGTTCCCATCCTTTCCCCATTACACTTCTACATCAATAACAATTTCACCGCACTTGAAACAGCTGCTGAACGCCGTGGTTTTTTGCCTTTTTGTAAGTTATCTGTGCAACTACGACGTAGAATTAGTGCAATCGAAACTCTAACCTTCATTGACAGCCTTCCGCAAATTGGAACCCGTAAATAAGGAATTCGATCGAATGCGATCTGAAACATGCAGCTGAATGGGCGAAATTAAAGTTTGGTTCTATCAAGTATTTTAAGCCGAAATGTTTTCATATGTATGCTCGAACTTGTCACAGGGAAAAACAAAGTATTGCGCGACCTCTGTAAGCCGGCTCGGTCCATTTGGTCGGGCCTTCTAAGTGAAGGTGATGCAGCGTCAATTTCTTGAGATCGTTTGCCACGGCGTAGTCGCAAAGACCCTCCAGCAGAGGTGTCGGCGTCGCAGCAATACCATGCACAAATATATGGTCGCCTAAACAGAAAACCGACCATAATTCACTGTGTTATGTTTTCCGTTTTTTTTTTTTCGCGAAAAATGAGGTAGGATTGATTGGCTTGGACATGCCTCTTGTTCTGCTAACAACTGCTATGGGCTGCACGTGATAGCAAAAAGAAAAATGATCTCTCGACTGGCTAAAAAGTGGGACTTGAATGCGGTAGTGACAGAAGCGTCAAAGTGGAGCCTGACACAGCAGCGTTCGGATTGGGCCTTATCTCAGTAACGCCTAAATTGGCAGATCGCATAGTCGAAGAATTAGGGAAAAAAAGAACTGGAAAAGATATCTAGGGAGCTCTTGCTTTCTAGAGTTCTTTTAAAAATACGATTTTTGCCGTTGACGAGCACAGCACAGTGAGAAAATAGCATTTATACCGTACAGGAGGTCGAGGATTCTACTCCGCCGGTAGAATAACCAGTCCTTCTACGTTTTATTCATTCGTTTTGATGGTAAAATGGTACTGGCATATGTCAAGGTGGCAAAATTTGCTATTAGCCTACTCCTAAGCAGCTCTCGAAAAAAAAAGCCATCGAGTGTCTTGCCGGTGAACGTTTCCCTTTGCTGCAGTGCTACTCAGCGAGCTCTGGGTAATTCTTCCTTTTGCAAGGAGTAAAGAGCGAATGGTTTGGCACTGAAAGTACAATTTTTGAGGAAGTTTCTAGAAAGATTACCAGATTTAATGCCTTTAAACATGTCACTGATATCAGTAACAACTTTTGTCTCTTTGCCAGCGATTGGATAAGCACATTCCTGACTTTCCAGCGAGCCAGGTACCAGGCGTAACAGAGCCGCGCTGGAGTGCAGCGTCCTAAGTGGCACTGTTGAGAACCGAGAGAGCAAATGCATTTTGCCTGCCAATATGCAGCCCTGAAACTATGATTTTTCGACATTTTCCAATATCTGGGGAGAATAGCGGAAACAGCGAGACGTAAATTCGCAGGGGACAAGGTCGTGAAACAAGATCATGGAATATTACCAAATAAGAAATTGAGCGTTCCCGGGCAAGTACGGTTTCTTCTAATAGACTCTCAGCGTTGTTCAACCGTTTGAGCTTGGGTGACATCAAATGACAGAACGAGGTAAAAAAATACCGCAAGTTGAGTGGCTAAATTTAACAGCACAGATTTGGATGCAGTGAGGGAGTGGAAAAAATTTCATAACTTAATACAATTTAATTAAATCCACTTCTTAATTCAATACCTCAATTAACAGTTAATAATACAATTAACAGGAAATGCAACATGTACGGCAGGCCGCGTTAACTTGGGTATTAAACAGCCGTAAAAAGCAGTATTTTGAATACCGACGGGGTAAAAACATATGCATTTTCCCCCGGATTTTGTCACTTTGAAAAAGAGTAATAAATACTTTTGCTTCGCCGTTATTTTGAAAAAAAAGAGTAATAGATACTTTTGCTTCGAGTTTGACAGAATTAAGAAATATGGGCACATTTTTCCGCATAATTTCTCACACGGAGACTGTTCTATTTGAATTTAAATTTTTAGCATCGTACATTATGAGTATCTTTGTAGGATTTTAGCATTTTGTCCTGTCCAGTTCCCGAGTTAGCAAATTTCCTGGCGAAACCTTTACTTGAGATCTGGCCGTGCGTGAAAGTTGAATCTATAAATACACATGCATAGGCGAATCCAGGGTGGACTTCTCGAGTAGGGAAGGGGGTGGTAGCCACGGAGGTCGGGGAGAGGAAGAGTGAGGCTCCCGAGAGGGGTAACGGGGCGTTGGAAGGACAGTCCCCTCCCCGCCTTGGAACTGCCTATAAACATAGGCGTTCTGTTTACTGAACAAATAAATGTAGTGTAATGTAAATGGACAAAGAAAGAAAAAAATAATCCCTACAGGCCTGATAATCTTATTTACACCCTCTGACACCACCTCTTCTGCCAGAATGATAGATGAAACTGCAGCACTGATAAGTCGTACCTCCTGTCAGCTCAGGCTTCGATTGAGGAGCCTCCGGATAAAGCACAGAGATTATTACAACACATCCATTTCGAGGTGTGTGTGCGGGTGGTACATCACTTCGCATACACAATCTTTCACCATTCTTCATTTCATCGTTCTTTACCACCCCTCCACTATAAATATATCGATTCTATTTCAAGCACCTGTCCAGACAATGCGTCATTTTTGTGGTTCTTCAGTGTAGTCAACACCCGAATAGCAAGTGTTTGCGCTGGCTGAGCAACTTGTATGTCGAATCGCGTAACAGGGTTGCCTCTAATAGTGTTGACCGAATCCTGGAACGGCTGTCGAGGTCCGCGACATCCCGAGTCGCCAAAGTGCATTTTGCTAAAGGGTAAATTTTGCCGTACATAATGTATTTGCAAACGGTAAGTAGGTCTGCAGAACTGGATTGGGTTTAATACTAAATATAGATAAAAATCCAAAATTTTAACATCTGTAATTCCGATATTGCAAGTTACAGACGAACCGCTATGGGAGTAGCCACTTTGTAGCTCTTTGCACTATAAGCTCCGTGCCATCCCAACTGGAGGAAAAAATAATTGGCCAACGCACGGGCTGCCTGTGCGAAGATGTGTTTTTTGCACAGTTCCCCGCAGTTTTTGTTGCTACCAGCGCCGGCTTTTTCGGCAAATGCTTCTAGCTAAACAAATTAAGACTGGCCGCCAGAACTATCAGGAGACACCCCCTTAAAATTTCAGTTTTTCTAGCTTCCCTGGCTCCTGAGTTAGTAACTTACTGGAAAAAAATTTTTACGGCCCCGTGCGTGTTTGCCACGCATACCCGAGAGTTGGGTTTGAACTGAATGAAACTTAGGTGGACAGGATATATCCTCTTAAAATTACAGTCCTTCAGCTTCTCAGGTACTCGAGTTATCAACTTACCCGAAAAAATTTTGGCGGTCCCGTATGCGAGTACCACTCTTATTCGGAGGTTGGGTTTGAGCTCACTAATACCCACTTGGACGGAAAATATCGCCCTAAGATTTCAGCTTTCTAGCTTCTCAGATATCCGAGTTATGAACTTACCCGAAAAAAATTTTGGCAGGCTCGTACTCAGGTACCACACTTACCCGGGTGCTGGGTTCGAGCTCATTAATACCTAGTTGGACGAGGAACATCACCCTAAGATTTCAGCTTTCTAGCTTCTCAGATCCCCGAGTTATGAACTTGCCCGGGAAGAATTTTGGCGAGCCCGTACGTAAGTACCACACTTACCCGCGGGCTGGTTTTCAGCTCATTAATACCTACTTGGATGTGGAACATCCCCTTAAAATTTTAGTCTTCTAGCTTTTCTGATTCGCGAGTCATCAACTTACCCGAGAACTCTGGCGGGCTCATACGTGGGTACCACGTGGGTAAGACCGCCCATTTCGGAGATGAGGGCTCGTACGTGCATGTAGATTATGTCCCCAAAGTTTCAGCACTGTAGCTTTTGCTGGTCTCGAGATGAAAAACCGGTACAGACGAACACACAGACACACACACACACAAACAACCTCTCGTCAATATGCGTTTTCTGCATTGCATAACTGCAAAAAACGCATAAAAAGGACTGTTGGTTAACGCCAGAGTCGCCCAAAATGTCCGTGAGGCTACTATCGATGCACTTTCATCCCAATGAGGCAAGAGGTTTAAAAGAGTGGATGTGCTGAGTTTCTTTTGGTTTGGAAAGTGAAGCTAGCAGCCCTGGATCAAATGCATCTTGGAAGTGCTGGTGCGGAAGTTTTGTTAGTACATGTGTACCTAAGTTAAAAGGAAACAGGAGACGAAGTATCAGCGATGGGAATTCGTCCAGAGCACTCAGCACACAAACTTAAAAATTTTGAAAAACACAAGAAGCCGGAAAATGAAGTTCTTGAGAGACACTTGTACGCAGATGCAACAGCACAGAACGATCAACGACCCATCACAGAGAGAGATAAGTGCAGCAGACAACACAGAGAGAGATAAGTGCAGCACAAAGATGCGGCCTCTTTTACCGCGCTTCTCGAATGACAGTGACCGAAGACAGCGAAGATCATCATCCTGGCAGAGCAGATGCTACTGCCGAAGGTACAGACCCTGTGCCACGGGAGTTCAGTGGTCTTGGATTAGAAGTGCATTGGATTTATACTTTTTGGAACAGAAAAAGATTTAATTTGATTACGGGTTTTTGGCCTCACGTAAGTTTTGATATTACACTACCGAGTTTTCAGTTTCTTATCTTCTACAGTTCCGGATCTGAATAGCCCAAACACGTATAAATATACAGACAGAACAAGAGAGAAAGGCGAATTGCATAAATGCAAAAAAAGTAAGAGTCAGATGCAAAGGAACGCTAAGAATGCGACAAAATGTAATAATGATGTCGGCATTATTTTTTGGCATTGTTCATTTAAACAACTTTATTATTATTATATTATTATTATTATAATATTATTATTATTATTATTATTATTATTATT